ACCACAATGACAAAACAGATATTAGGCTATCCTGCTGGATTTGGTTATGGTATTCAATAAACTAATGACTACGGTGACACTCATACATTTATTTTGCTGCTCCACCAATCAAGTTGATCAGCGCTCACTGACTAAGTTCTCGGATCTAAAATCTCACCTTATAGCACATCATTTCACACTAGTACGGGGTCCTGGCTCTTTTGGCTTAAAGTGATGGCTTGTGGCCTACAGTGACTAATGGGTGCATTCAATTAATTGAAATCCATTCTGTAGGTCTTGTGTCTGACTCTGATGTGCTAACCCATAACCACAAGAAGTGAGTGTGTTTAGCTTTCTATTTAACCAATTTAAGAGTGGATGAAAACATAGGAAGACTATACCAGAGGACCAGAAGGAACTTACTAATGCACCATCACACCTGTTGACATCAACAGCCTCTAATATCAGTAAATCAAAAATTTGTCCTTGGTTGCATATGACCTACACGCATTTTTCAATCAACACAAAATTTTTTTTAATATTTCATTTACCCTCAATATGAGGGTAGTACAGACCTTCCCAGAAAACGAGTGCTGTTTTTCCTCTTGTATGTCCACGCATGTGTATTTTATTTTAGACAACTTGGCCATGACCGTTTGCAAGTTTTATTATATTAGGCATTGGTTTTATTATATTACCCACCCCCTCCCTTTTGGTTGACTATGTTTTTATTTATAATTTTGTAACAACTAATAATAGTTATTATTAATAATTGTTCACCAATAACATAGTAGACCAAAAGGAAGGGGGCAGGTAGAACTAAACGCACAGAGCCAAATGTTACAAAAGCAACAGGTATTCAAAATTGCAAAGCACTAGAAGATCAGGGATAAAAAACGTTCAGGAATAGAAAGATAATATAAAACAATTAAGGCTGAAAATGTGAAAAATGTGTAGATGGCATGGCCTAATTGAAGCTTAAAAACTATGTATATAGGTGTGTGCACCTTACTTAAAAAATACACTGAAAGGTTTAAATGGTATAAGAATTCTGAATGTAAAGAGATGTGTATCATTCAAAAACATATAACAAAAATATTTTTTATATACTAATAAGAAAAGATAAATGGTTACAAAGACAATATATGACCAGTGGTATTTAAAAGAAAAACAATTTTAAAAAAATGGAAAGAGGTGGGATTTGAACCAATGACACTCCCTCTATGAAGTGAACATCTTATCCATAGAAATCTGCGTATAACTATAAATAAATAAATATAATTATATAAAAAGTTATACGTAAAATAAAATATAAAAAACAAAGTTATATGTAAACTTTTACATATAACTTTGTCCCCATATGAAATACATGTAATACGCATGTATTACATGTATTACATGTATTTCATATGGGGACAATATATACTTGTTACATTAAAGTTATACAAATATATTTTACTAACAGATATCAATTTATATTTTCGTTTTCCTTTTTGAAAAAAACAAAACAAATAAAATTAGGAGTGGGAGTTAAGGTTAGCTTTAGTCTAACTAAAAATACTTAACTAAATTTTTAGTCTAACTAAAATTTGTCGACTAACTTTTTAGTTAACTAAAATTACCCGACTAACTTTTTAGTTAACTAAAATTACCCGACAAACTTTTTAGTTAACTAAAATTAGTCGACTAACTTTTTAGCTAACTAAAATTACCCAACTAACTTTTTAGTCTAACTAAAATTAGTCAACTAACTTTTTAGTTAACTCAAATTAGTCGACTAAATATTTGGTGTAACTAAATTTAGTCGACTAAAGCAAGATTTAGTGATTGAAAAAAGAAATAATCTTTCGCATAAAATTTTACACACGAGGAAGCTTTATTAAGGCGATAAATATTATTTTATCATAATTAAACACTTTACTAATTGTGAATCCTAGAGCCCAATTGAACTAAATTGTTGTTCAAAAAAAATGTTTTAAGTAAAATTCGATTATTTTTATTTTTTCTCAGTTCGGAGACAACTGCCTATGAGGTTGTTGCAACTGTTTATAAACACCCAATCAGCATGGAATATACAAATAATGCCCTTTAGTCAAATAAATCAAATTTGGTATGCTTATTGAACATTTAACTTACATTTTTTTATGTGCTGCGTCCTATAGGTAGTGTGCAATCAACAATAATTATATTGGCTTACTAAATGAGCTAAAAGTTCATTAGTGGGATGTCACAAACAAAACCAACCAACACATCCCCTCTAATCATCCCCTTAAAATAAACGCATATTAAAAATAATCTCCCCTGCCAGGGCCGTACCAACAAGGGTATGGGCACCTTCCCAGGTTTACAACTTTCTGTTGGTTTTTGTGGTTATTTGGAAACTTTGATACTCAGTCGGTTAAAACTGAAAAGCCGTACTTTGGTGAGATTTTAATGGTAAAAAAGCTTTTTTAATTTGCACCAACGCTGTCTTCCCCCCCTTACCCTACATCTTCATTGTTCAGTACAGCCTGTCCCCTGCCATATTATAGGAATGGATTCAATCTCTAATTTTCACAACAAATCTATGACTCCCCCTCCCTACCCCTTCAAATATCGACCTCTTCTAACAATTGATAACCACCCCAAATACAAAAAAAAAAAAAAAGGAAAAAAAAACAACAACAGAAAAACAAAATATAGTAGATTAAAAAATACAGTAATAAAAAAAAAAAAAAATTAGAAACAATGCAGTAGAAACATTTGGCATTCTAGTTCTTCCAAATAAAAAAGATATATGAATATTGTGTTCATTTAAAAATTATAAATGGGTATTAAATTCCCTCCCTTTATTAACCCTCCCCAAACCTATTGTAATGTTAACTTAACCACCACCACGAAAACAATATGCAACGTTCGAACATTAATTGTTGTGTCTTCTATCCCAGCTATTATAACTCGCAAACACTACAGTTAGTTACAGTTAGGCAGGCGAAAGTATTGACATAAACCCAAAATGTAATTGTTAAATAAGTTATTATGAATATATTTATTCTTTTCAGAGTATAGTTGTTCGTTGGTTGGCGATACTTGCAAAATTTGAAAGGAAGATTAGTATTTGCATTTTAGAAAGCAATTTCCGCAATATAAGTTGTTGAATAGTGTATAAAATGTATTAAATAATACTTAACTGTTGAATAATGAAAATATTTTATTAAGTAGCTGCGGTCGCTTTTAAAACCAGGAAATTGTTTATGACATTTTAATTACTTGAGAAATGCAATACGTAGTTTTTAAGCACTTTAAAATATGTGTAAAACCGAGTCGAAACAATTATCAATTAAAATTCAATAACTTTTTAATTATATTTATTTTTATATTTTTTTATTAGATAGATCGATTTTAGATATAGATTTATTAGATAGATCGATTTTAGATATAGATTTAATGCGGTAGTGGTGTAGTGGTAAAGCGCTCGCTTCATAAACGAGTGGTTCCGAGTTCGATCCCCACCACGTCCTTGGTAGTACCGCGCTCAACTCGTTTCTCCACGCAGCGGCCTTGCTTGTCAAGGTTCGTGTTTCGGAGTTATAGAGTTGAGAGAGGGTTATAACCACAAATAAGTAGCCTCCTCATCTGTAGTGGCCTTCTCGGCCTTGAGGAGGTGAATTAAAATTAAAAAAAAAAAAAAAAGATGTTAAAAAAATACTAAAGAATATATAATGAAATATTTAAAAAAAAAAATAGTCAAAATATTAAAATAATAATGGTAAAAAATACTAATTTAATAATATTTATTTAAAAAGAATAAAATGAATTAAAAAATATTTGTTACAAGAAAAAACTTCAGTGTTAAATTTAATGAATTTAAACTAAATTTAAATAAAATAAGTCGACTAATTTAAGTTAACTAAAATGTTAGTCAGGTAATTTTAGTTAACCAAAAAGTTAGTCGACTAACTTTTTGGTTAACTAAAATTATCTGACTAACATTTTTTTATTTATACTAAAATAAAAAGTTAATCGGGTAATTTTAGTTAACTAAAAAATTAGTCAACTAATTTTAGTTACAGTTTTTTTTTTTTTAGTTAGTTACAATTTTTAGTTTTGGTCACAACACTAAATAAAATATTTACTTGTCAATTAATTGAAAAAAGTAAATAAAAGATTTATAAATTACTGTTATTAAATTATGGTTAATAAAGCAAAATTCAATATATTAAAAGATTGGTATTTAAATCATTTAAAGATATATTGGCCATATGCCAATATTGGGTTCCTTATAGAAAATTGATAATATAATAAAAAATAAAAAAAGCCATAAAGTCATATTTTATGTTGTATTTATTTAGCGTAAAACCTAAAATAATCAATAAATAACTTTTACTCCAAGGCAAACCGCACAAAATACATTAAAGTATTACAAGAGAATATTTTCTTTATTCATGCTTTGTATGCTGCACTATTTTATGTTGTACCCTAAATTTTTAATTCATTAAATTAATAAAAGGGATTAATTTCTATAATTAATTATAACTTAATTGTGAATATTATTCAATGAAAAAGGATTAACAAAAGTAGTAAAAAACTGGAATTAATATTTGACAGGGGCCGGAGCCAGGTTTGATAAAAGATAGCTGGGGCCAGACTTGTGACCAAGGCTGTTTTAACATTACTTAACATTACTTACATAAAGTAATGTTAAAAAGTAAATTCAGTAAAATAATTGTACAATAATTTTTAATGTACAATTGTTTTAATTCACAAATTGAAGTAAAATGTTATTTAGATATATATCTTTAAATAAAAAATATAATTTTAAAAAATTATATGATTTGCTTTGTTTGGCGATTGTGATGGCAATTAAAAGATTTTTTTTTTTAATTTAAACCGACCACATTTTAAGTAACCACACTCAACCACATTCTGTATTGTGTAGTAGTTCATCAGTTTTTAATTTTACATTTTATCTCCACTTATCAAATCAGTAATACACCATTAAGTTTTTTTTACGATTAATTTTTTTATATGAAAAAATTTAGATTATTGATGCAACAAAGAAAGGAAGCAAATCGCGTTTTATTAATCATAGTTGCGATCCAAATTGTATAACTCAAAAGGTAAGTTTAAGGTAATGGTTAATTTTATAGTTTTTTGTAATGCAATAGCTAAATTTTTAAACATTTCAATGTATCTTTTTAATATATTTTTTGATTAATTTTTTAAAATTTTTCCTCCTTTTTTTTTACCTTTCTAAAGCTGATAGGGCCATTACAGTCAAGAAGACTTTTTTTTTTTTTTTTTTTTTTTTGGCAACTACTATTTTTTTTCTGTTGTTGGTGCATTCACTACAAGAAACAATTGCTGCACTCAATTGTTTCTTTAACAAGTTGAGTGCAACAATTTAGCAACAACAGAGACATGGTGGCGATTAAAACAAGGTTATAGTGTCATATTATAGATCCTCATAGTGAGGATCAAACAAAAAAGTTTAAAAACTTTCAAACTTTCAAAGTTCATGGTGGAGATCAAACTCAGAAATGAGTACTCTACCACTACATCAATTTAAAAAAAAGTATGCACAATCATTAAAAAAAAACTTTTATTAAACTGCAAAGAGCTTCGAGAATAACCTGTGGAATAAAAACTTTTTAAACTTATTATTCTTAATAGATTATACATCTATTAAGATGATAATACATTTCTTGTATGCTACCTGCTGAAACAGATTTTCTACTTTATTTTTTACAATCCAAAACTTTGTTTATTTTAAATTAAAAAAATCTAACTACTTTTAATCTAGAACCACAAACATTGAATCGTATTCAATGTCTCTATTTAGAACAACAAGCATTTAGTTATATTCAATGTCTCTGTGCTATTTAAACTTTAAAATTTAAGTTGTTTTTTATGTTTTTAAAGAACTTATGATCTTTTTTGTAAAATTTACCTTCAGTTGTTAAAGAGTTTTTTTTAGCTTGTTTTGCAATAACAAGGTGTTAGCCAGCCCAATGGCACTGTGTATACTGCGGAATTCCTAATTGGTTTAAAATTTCCAAAATTCAGTTAATTTTTTTTTTTTAATTAGACAATTTCGATAAAAATTTTGTAGAACAATAACATTAAATATTCCTAATATCACAAAAATCCGTTTAAAAATATAATCACGGCTAAAACCCTGACTAATTTTTTTCTTTTTTTTTTTTTTTTTTCTTTTATAAAATTGTATTTTATTAGTTAACAATAAATTTCAATAATTTTTTATGTAGTGGACCGTAAATGGTTTTTTACGAGTTGGATTTTTTGCTTTGCGTTATATTGAAGCCGGAGAAGAGTTGAGTTTTGACTATCAATTTCAAAGATATGGGTATGCTTTTGAGTTGAATGCTTTTTTTTAATAAATATAATTTTGGTTTTTTGACTTTCAAATGAATTGAGTTTTTAAATTTAGTTTATGTGAGTTGTATATATATATATATATATATATATATATATATATATATATATATATATATATATATATATATATATATATATATATATATATATATATATTTCCAAATATGTTTTCATATTTTTTTTTTAAGATTTAACTATTTAATTAGATGTTCTTGAAATATCCTAATGCATAAAAGTTTGTGAAGGAAAAAAGTTTAATTTTTGCATTTTTACTGAATTATTATGGAAGTTATAATTAGGGGTGTACCTGATTGGAAATTTTGAATTCCTGCCAGAACCGGATTTGTGGGATTTGTTAAAAAAATTCCGGCTGGAACAAGATTCATATTTATGTAATTTTTAACCTTGAAGATCGAAAGAGAAAGTCTGCTCCTCAGCATCGTAGCTGAGGTGCAGACTTTTTCTTTTATGCAGACTTTAAAGAACATTAAAGAAACATTAAAAGTGAGACTATCCTCAGAAGTAGGTAACATTTTTGATGAAAAAAGAGCTTGTTTGTTGTCCAAAACTAAATAGCAACTCTTTTTGCACCACAATATTCCTGCACTTTCTTGTGGAAACTAGTGTAAAGTGGTGACTTTTAAATATAAACATATAGAATATATATTGGCTTTAATACATATATGGACTATCTTGTAGCCTGCTGCTACAAGAAAGAGCTGCTACATTAACTAAGGGTTTGGTATAAGGCAGCAATCTTTTTTCTTTTATCATTTCAAATAAATTTTTAATGTTTAAAAACCCTCTACTGACAAAAGTGCTACAAGCGAAAAAATTTATTTTAAAAAGCATAAAAGTTATTTCAGACTGTAGCTTTAACTAAAATTACATCTTGTTTAATAAGAATTTCGTATTTTTTACTTGGGTTTACCTAAAGTTCTTTATTGCCCTGTAGGACAATGGTTTTTTGATTTAATTTACACAGTCTGTATCACATTTCTTAAATAAAAAAAGTGAAAAATAAATTCTGGCAATCCGGCCTGAAATATTGTAATTTCGGCTGGAACAAGAATGACCTAAAAGTCACAAGTTCCGGTTGGAATTCCGGTATACCCCTAGTTATAGTATAAACAAAAAATAATCAACAAAAAGCAACATTTAAAAGTTCCAGATTTAAAAACAACCTTTTTTTTTTTGCTAGAGTTAAATTAAAGCTGACTAAAAAATAAGATGTGTGATTATGACTAAAAAATATGATGGGTGATTGTGACTAAAAAATATGATGTGTGATAGTGACTAAAAAATAAGATAAGTGTCTTTTATTGCAAGTGTTTTTTTACACAACATAACAAAATATTTTCTTGCATTGAAAAAGAAAAACAAAAAAAATTTCAAAAAGTATTAGATTATTTTGAAAGCAAATTTAAAAAGGATTTCAGATTACAAAAAAAAATTACTTTACTTCTTTTAGAGAGGCTGCTTCCATTACATCTATCAGTTTAAACACTGCCACATTGTGTATGAATAGAGTCTCTGCTAATGCTTTTAGCGCCCATTATCAAGGCCACATAGAGAGCCTTTTGTTACAAATTTGGATTGATTAATAAAACTGAAGTAACAGCCTAGTTTATTGTTTAGGGTACCATGCACAGTCCTGGATTTATCTATAGGATGACTTGGCCGTAACCTAGGACCCTGCAATTTTTGGGGACTTCAGAATTTAATTGAAAAATATTTAAATCTGCTAAGTAAAAAATAAAGTTATGAAGTTGATACTTTTAGCGTGTATTTTAAAAACTAATTATTGTGAAGACATAGATATAAACATACTTAAACTTGGATGTTCTCAAACATCTAACAAGCCGTGGCCAAGTTGTGAACACTAAATATTATATGCGTGGTCAGGAACAGAGTGCTATTGCACGCCTTTCCGACTCTGTTACTTTAGTTCTTTTATTTAATTTAGAAAATAAATCAATTATACAAAAGTGGATTTCAAAAGCGTAAGAAAAAAGCTAGAAAAGAACAAGAATTTAAAAAAATTCAGAAACTTGATGATTTTTTAGTAAAAGTTGGAAGTACATAGCCCATAAATTGCTCTATTGAAACAGAACAGTTAGTTTCAGAAAATGGTCATTAATTGCAAGAAGTCACACGCTCTCCTGAATTAATTACTGGTAGCTGTAACTTAAACATCAACAGAAAAGATGACATTGGCTTATGAGAACATCTTTCTGAAGGCGATGTTTTGTTTGGGATTTCAAAAGAACCAAAAACCTCTCAACTTTGATAATGATTTCCATGAATCAAAACAATTTTGCGAGGATCACGATTGCTTTTGTTCAAAATCTTTTTTCAAAGGCCAAAGAGCAAATGATGAAAAATACAATTGTGAATGGTAGATTTACTCCCCAGCAGAAAGAAACCTTTACTGCTTTGTATGCAAGGTTCTTAAGATTTCCTGTTTTTATCTTGTTACAACTGGTTTGAGAAACTGGAAAAATGTTATTTCACTGTTAAAAAGCCACGAAAATTCTACAGAACATAGAAAAGTCTTAATGACTTATTTAATAAGAAAAAGTCACAACACATTGAACAACATACTTAAAGAATCAAAAAAAGAACAGTAATATTGGAGAATGATTTTGATGTGTGTGCTCTTTGTTTCGTTGGAAACAAAGAGCACACACATCTAAAAACCAGCATTTAGAGGTTCCAACGAAATGTTTGGAGAGCAAAGTAGTGGAAATGTCCTTAAACTCCTTGAACTGATTGCAAAATTTGATCCATTTCTATCAGAATAATTTATTTTTTATGAAAAAAAAATGAAAAATTAACATCAGGAAATTCTACACTTTTTTGAAAAAAGGCCCCAAAAAGCGATTCAGCCTATGGCCCCAAAGGGTGTAAATCTGGCCCTGGCCATGCACTGCCTATGATTGAGTCATGTTCTCTAATATTTGTAATCATGGCTTTTTCTTTTTTGTGGTTGTAAAAGTTCAATATTCAGCTCATATATATTTGAGCAGCCGTGGCGCAGTGGTTAGAGTTCTGGCTCAGAACCCAGAGGTCCGAGGTTTGACGCCAGCTCTAGCCCAACAAGCGACATTGGTACGGAAGGAGGTGTGAACTTCCTGTTAAATGCTCCCCCGCGGTGCTCTATGATAAGACCGCAAGGACTTCTGGAAGCACCTAAATACAAAAAAATAAAAAAATAGCAAAGTTCGTTTTATAGTTTTATCAAAAGTAAAAAAAAAAAAAATTGTTTGTAATGAAATAAAATGGAAAAAAATTGGTTTCTTTACAGATTTTTAAAGAAAAATTTAAGGCTATTTTTTTAAATTAAAGAACAGTGGTAAAAAATCGTTTTTAAAATTTGTTTAGAGAAAAACCCCAAAAATGTTACTGTGGAGCAGCCATTTGTCGAGGTGTTATTGGAGTAGAACAAAGTGGACCAATACCTAGTTATATAGAAAAAATAAGTTAGTTGTAGTTTTGAGCTATACTCATATGTTTAACATCTTTACTTTAAATTTTCTAAATTTCTTTAAATTTACTTGTTCTAATGTTTCTCTAAATTTTTATGTAATGTTAATTTTTTAATTGTAATTTTATAAAAATGATTATTAATAAATTTTTCACATATCTGCCTGTTGACTTGTTATTTCTTTCTTTTTTTTTAATTTCTTATACTCAAATGTTCATATATGAAATAAAATTTTGTATGGTTTAATCAAGGACATTCAGTATTTTATAATTTGACTTTTTTTCAAGTGTCATCTTCACCAACATCATTCAGTAAGACAAAGAAAAGAAGAAACCAAATTAAAGAGTTTTATGATTCTGCGGTCAGGAAACATTTATTTAAAACAAATTCCAGTATTACTTATCTTTAAAAATTTCAAAAATTATAAACCATTTATTGTTTTTAGCTCGCTGGTGAATTAAATGAGCTTCTTGGTTCTACATGGTTGTTGAAGGATAATAATCAAGTTTTAGAACTGATAAGATTAATGGTAAAAGTTGAAACACTCCATGAGCGGCGAGAATTGCTTAAAATTCTTCAATCTACCACCAACTCAAATGCTCTCAAATCTTTTGTTCGGTATAAAGGTTTGAGTTTGTTGTGGACATGGATGGTTGATGCTCCATCACACAAAACAAAGTATAAAGTTGAGGTACTATTTTTTGTAATTAAGGTATTATTTAATTAATTTTTGTAAATTTTATAAATCAACTTAATAATTTTTTTTTATAAAGATTTTAAAGACTCTGAAGCACATTCCCATACCAAATAAAAATGAACTAGATGACAGCAAAGTTGTTCATATTGTTTCGAAATGGTTAAAAAAACCAATATCTCAAGAAAGAAGTTCAAGTGAAGAACAACAGTCTGGAAGTGAAAATGAACTTAAAATTGATGAATTTTCAGAGTCCCCATTAAATGATGCAAGTGAAGATACAAGTAGCTCTTCAAACAATGAAAGGATATATAAATCTGCTGATGCAGAATCAACTGAAGAAGGTAAGTTGGACAAAACTTTTTGTTTTAAAAAAAAGTGTGTGGGGTCATTCCATGTAAAACTGGGACAGTCATTTCAGTCACCCCTTGGATTTTCTTAAAATTTTTACCAGTGGTAACTATTAAGGAAACATGAAAAAATGCAAAATTTGAGCTCCCAAATCCAAACGGTTCAAAAGTTATGATGTTTTGAAATTTAGCCTAAAACGTTCCTTTTTTTAGGAAGTCCGCCATTATGGATTTTGTAGTTGTACTTTTAATTGAATAATTTAAGATCTAGTGGGAGAATGTGGCTGAAAATCAGTACCTGACCATTTTTGAGGGTGCTGAATTCAAAAATGTAGATAAAATAGTGAAATTTAAATTTTTTGATAGTTATTTTTTCATTTTAAAATGGCCAGTCAAATTTTTTGTTTTGTAACCATGGGTTGCGCTTTCATTAATTCCCGAAGTTGCCCAAGTCTTATGGATTCGATTTTTTTTTTCAAATGAAGTAGGTGATCCTAGGCTATCTTTATAAAAAAAATGGTTTTGGGTTCTTAAAGCATAGAAAAGTTATTTCATTTTGAAATTTAGACAAAAAATTTCTTTATTTGGCATCTATTCTCTATTATAGATTTTATAGTGATTCTTATTGTGTGAATAATTTAAGATCTAGTAGAGAAATATGACTGCAAATTGGTATCTGACCATTTTTAAAATTAACCCAGTTCTTAATATTAAAAAATAATTTTTGAATTTTATTATGTCAACAGTCCTTTTTTTTTCTTTTAACCATAGTTTGCATTTCACTGATTTCTGGAGTTGCCTTACTCTCATTGTGAAATATAAGATCTTACTCTCATTGTGAAATAAGAGATCTTACTCTCATTGTGAAGAGGTTTTATAAAAGTTTAGGTGAAAGTAAATAAAAAATTATATTACTTTGCATAACTTGCATATTTATCTATTTTTTCAAAAGTATACATAGAAATATAATTTACTATACAACACATTGAACAATTTTTTTTTATTATTATTCTAATAGTTAGATATTATTTCAAAATCTTGGTTGCATGAATCAAATTTAAGGTTACAAGCTCAAATGTTTTGTTAAAAAATAGGTAACTAAAATGCAAACTTTTTTGAAAAATATTACAAACCTGCTTTATTGAAAAAAGCTCAAAAATAAAAATGAAAAGGAATAACCAAATATTACTAAAATTTAAGTTCATATCATTTAAATAATGAAAGTAAAATATTAAATAACTTTCACTGAAAAGATAAAACTTGTTCAAATAAATTTTCATCTTCTTTTGAGATTTGGTACTGACGCCCAGAAGATGTTGAAGGTGTTTTAACAAGACAAATAACATTCATTCTTGGCACCCAGCAATTATCATCCCGATTTGGCCAGTGGTATGACCGACTTGGGTAATGTGGATGCATAAATTTTACCATAAAATCATCATTCTCTTCATCAACTTCATAAACCATACCAAGCCAGTAAAAATCGTCATATTTGAAAAATAGATATTGTGACATCAAAACATTGTCAATTTTAATAATTTCACATTTTTGTTTTTTGAGGAAGTCAAATGTTAGAGAAAAATGATCATCATCGGATACCCTTTTCATTTTTATAATTGAATGAGAAGATGGTATAAATTGATGGAAACTTCTTGTCCCAGAAATAGTGGTTGCTATTAAAAATCTATCTGTAAGTTTGTTTCTTACTAGCTCCATTTCTTCAGCAGAGACATACACAAACGTAATTCCACTGATTGACTTTTTACAGTATTCAAACATTGCTTGAGAAGACAGTATATGACCTGTGGTTGGACTCTGCAAGCTAGCTGTTGCAACAAGCCTTTTAACAGTGCCACCTATTCCATCACATGGAGATTTACCATGGCTTGTTGCAAAGAAATTCCAGATGCAACAAACAGAAAAATCTTGAGCGTGGTGACATAAATTGTAAAAATGTTTGCAGTTTTTATACTGCCCTGCACAGCCATCAGAAAAATAATGAATTTTTTTAATTGTGGGACAAAGATGAGTTTTAATATGATTAATGGTTTTATGCATAACCTCATTGATAAATCCAACATCATGATTTAAATCATCTGAAATTACACACAAAGAAGATATTTCCAATTTCACTTTATTGTAGTAGATGACAACTGGATGAAGGGAACATTGACTCTTGCTCCAATGGTAACTCTGAATCTCGTCTTGTACTACAAACGTGTAATTCTCTGCAAAATCTGCCAATACAATAGCCTCATCAATACTAATTGTTTCTTTGAGATGCTTTAAATAGCTAGATTGTGATTTTGCTATAAATGAATGAGAAGTGATATTATCAAGTTTTTCACACAGAAGCTCTATGAATTCATTTAATGGAAGTTTTATTGTTAATAATTCAGTTCTATCTGTCGTTGTCCACTGTTTGAAATCCACTGACTGTTCATTTTCATCACTGTTATATTGCTCTTTTGGATCATCATTTTGTGCGAGATACTGCTGGAAGTAATTTTGGGCATGTTGTATGCCAGGACAACTATTGCATCGGTGAATCATGCAAACTTTAGATTTTCTGCTGCAGACAATTTTTTTAATAATTTCATGGTAAGATGGTTCAAGGCCTATAGCACTCAACATTAATTTAACATTTTAAGTGTATTGTACACACACAAACAGAATGTGTACCTTTTGGACCAGCAAGGATGCACCATTTAGGTCGAAGACTGCAAAATTTAGAAAATCCATTTTTATGGCCTGGGTACTTTGTCTTATATGCCACATAGAGCTCCTTTAAGTTACACAAAATCAATTTTTTTGACATGTATTTTTTTCCCCCAACACTTACACAGTCTTTTTTACCTGGCATTTGCCTTGAATACTCATCGTCACAGTAAAAAAGCTTTACAAGTTCTATAACATCTTTACCGATTCGATGCCGTTCAACCACATCAGGGTATGCTATGATGCCTTTTTGGTCACGTAAAAACTTTGCATTTTGAGTTTTGTGTTTAGAAACTGAAAACTCTTTTGCTGCTTTTCTGATAGACCAAGATTTTGGGGTTAATGTCAAAATTTGAAGTTGCTGTCTCTTGTTAGAAACCTTAAGTTTTTCTTTCATGCATTCTACAAGGAAGTCTAGATCGCCAGCTTTGGTTTGAATTTCCTTTAGAACTTCATTTTTTGGTGCAACAAGATCGGATTCGGTTATATCCAGAGCAGTTGCAAGCTTCTTAATAACTGCTTCTTCAACTTGCTTTCTCTTTCTCTTTCCAAGTGAAGGCTTGTTAGAGGTTTTGGGTAAATGAACTTTTAAAGGAGACACTTCAAGTTCGCATAAAGTACTGTTAAGCAACGATCTTGTTGATTCCAGTATAAGATCTTTTTCCATATTATCTTCAGGTAATTTCATCTCCAACTCGTTCTTTTCTGATTCTTCACTTGCTAATTTATGCCTGCATTGTGTACAAAGTTTTTCACCTGGAACTACGAATTTGCCTTTACTGCATAGGTATTTTGCTGTATCCAAGTTGATTTCACGAAGACTACCTAAAAAAAGGGAAGAACTCTTTTAATATGTATAAAACTTCAATATTAATATGTATAAAACTTCAATATTAATATGTATATTATACAATATTAATATGTATAAAACTTCAATATTAATATGTATAAAACTTTGATATGTATAAAACCTTCAAAAGTTTAAAGTTGTATGGCATTTAATTGTGCACTTTCAGAAGTCAGCTAAAAGGTTAAATATAGCTAAAATAGAATTTTGCTGCCAAGAATTTCATTATTGTAATTCAAAACGTTTCTGCAAAACTAAAAGTTTTACTATAAATTCATGATTACTATAAATACCTTTTATAGTTTTGTTATGAGTATTAAATGGATTGCAGCACCGTGTTAATTTAGTTGTATAACGCTTCAAATAAACATGTTTATGATGGAGACAAGTTGTTGGTTTGATATTTATTATTATTGAGAGCCCAGTCCTCCTCATTAATATTTCTCTTTCATATTCAATAATATCTTCAAAAGGTTCGATTCCCAGCAACGATGTATATGTTGTAAGATGACATTCACTTTCTAGGTTGATTCCAATAGAGCACTTT